TAGCAGGTGATCTAATTGCACGCTTACTGAACCAATATGCACTAGTTCCACTAATTTATGCTTATTAAAACTATTCAATCACAAAAAGATCAAAACATGCTGCTGATTTAAGGTCCACATTAAAGGAAACCTAAACTCCACTTCATGTGGTTTTAGGAATCAAAAACATAAAAACATGACCATTTTCCAACATCTCTTTATCCCATAGAACTCAACAGGCTATTTTTAATGACTGTTCCTTTAAGACTGATATATGTACATGACCTTTAAATATACACTTTAGCCATGATACCACAATTTTCCATGATACAGACCCCCAACACTGTTATACTCTTTTCTTCACAGTGAAACATGACTCTCTGCATGCCTCAATTTTGTGGCCCAGAGCTGTTCAGGTCCCTCTCCATTCCCTAATGTTTGAGTGTCACTACACTACCAGGTTCTAGTCAGAGCTGCAGATACAGCGATGTACGTGCTGTGCGCTCCTCCAAGGTGACACGTGTGCTCTCCACAGTGCCCCTCAGGAATACTGAGTGCACAGAGGCTGGCGCTGCAATCACTTAAAAATGCTAATACAACATCAGCTACCCCCCTACTGACTCATAAACAATCAGAGATCCCTCAATGAATATTTAATCACTGCCACGTATACAGATTGGACTGTATAAAAGTATAGTTGCTGTATATGGCTGAAAGCACGTAGCCATCTCCTATCTCCTATTTATTGAAACACAGGTGCATGAAATCAAGCACATAGCAAGCACATGTAATCTCAATAAGGAAACACTGGCAGTAGAATGGGTCATTGAAGTGCTCAGTAATTTTAAATCTGTCACAGGAAGCCACCTTTGTCACAAGTCAGCTTGTGAAATTTCTGCCCTGCTAGATCTGCCCTGGTCAACTGTGAGTGCTATTATTGTGAAATGGAGCCACAATAACTCAGAACGCAAATTCACAGAGCGGGGCCTAAAAAAATCGCCTATCCTCTGTGGGGTCACTCACTACAGAGTTCCAAATTACCTCTGAAAGCAACATCAACTACACACAAACCTAAGATCACAATGCGCAATGCCAAGCGTTGGCTGGAGTGGTGTAAAGCTCTGGACTCTGGAGCACTGGGAACGTGTTCTCTGGAGCGATGAATCATGCTTCACTATCTGGTAGTCTAATGTACCAATTTTGGTTTAGGAGATGCCAGTAAAGTTTGGTGAAGGAGGAATAATGGTCTGGGGTTGTTTTACATGGTTTGGGTGAGGCCTCTTAGTTTCAGTGAGGGGAAATGTTAATGTTACAGCACATAAAGACATTGTAGACAATTATATGTTTCCAACTTTGTGGCAACACTTTGGGGAAGGCCTTTTCCTGTTCCAGCATGACTGTGCCCCTGTGCACAAAATGAGCTCCATAAGGACATGGTTTAATGAGTCTGATGTGGAAAAACTCCAGTGGCCTGCATAGAGCCCTGACCTCAACCTCAATGGACACCTTTGGGATGAAATGGGACGTCAACTGCAAGCCAGACCTTCTCAACATCAGTACCTCACCTTACAATTGCTTTTTGACTGATTGGTCACAAATTCCCACAGACACACTCCAAATCTTGTGGAAATCCTTCACAGAAGAGTGGATTCTGTTAGAGCTTCAAAAGGAGGGCATATTATTGCTCATGGTTTTGGAATGGGATGTCCAACAAGCTCATATAGGTGTGATAGCCAGATGTCCACTTAGTTTTGTAGTGTACTTCGGTAAACACAAATGTGTGAAGTTTCGAGCCCTGTAGAGTTAGCTACATTACTGAAGGAATAATTGTATATAAAAGTCAAATTCACAGCTTTCCCTCATATTACAAACGTTTAAAAAGGGCACAGACTAGCTTCTGGCTTCAAGATGGCTGCTAGCCAGCTCTGTGTGTTTTTTTTTAGCTATGCTGTGTATAAGAGTATATCTTACAGTATTAGAAACTACGTAAGCAAGTGTATCTTGAGGTTACTTAACAACTGGATATGGTTTCTGGCCAGTATGTTGTGATTTAGGCATGTTGTTTGCTAAGTTTTAAGACAGAAGCTTCTATACTCCTCAACTACATTAGCCTCACAGCTCCAGGGGAAAACTAGCTAACTTCAGCCATTAAACATGTCTTTACTAATTGGGTAAGGGGACAATAATATACATTTTTGCCAAACTACTTCTTTAACTACACCATCAATCAAGTTCAGTTTTAGAAATGACCCTCCACTCAAATTCAGCACCTGAAAAGAGCCTACATGCTATTTTCTGAAAACCAGGCACTTTAACAGTACAGCTAAAAGCCTATTCTGCACTAGCGGTGTCAAACACATGTCTGGCAGGTTCCGGTTCACTCATAGCTAAAGTGTTAGCAGTCACACAGGATAGAGCCTGTGGCTGAAACAGAAGGATAATATAGCATGACGGAGAAAGATTAGACATGTGTCAGTTCCTGCAGTTCATCTGTAGAAGTCAGCCTGAGGTCAGTGCTGCTCAGATGAAGGAGCCATCAGTCTAATGTACCCCAGCTCCACACATGCAGGCTACACCACATCAAACCCCAGCGGGTTCTTATGCACAAAAGCACACTTGCTCCATTAAGCACATCAGTGAATAAATAGACGTCTAGTATAGGGCCTTGAAAGCTGTCTGAAGCTTGACATGATGCTGGAATTGTTCCAGTTGACATCAGGGCTGCACAATGTGGACAAAATACCAAATTGCAATTATATTTCTGTGTACTGCAACATGCCTTGCACTAATTAAACCCACTAAACGATTCAAATCTGAGGGAGCGAAGTTGAGCAACCGGCGTTGAATAGAAAAAAGGCGAAATTAAACCTGTTCTATGGTGTTTGGATCTGTAGCCTAATCAGCTAACTTAACGTTAGCTTAGCAAGTAGGCTACAGACCCAAACAGTGCAACACACCACAGCACAGGTTTGATTCTCACTAACTGATGCTCTGTTAAAACAAGTTTCTTTGATAAAAACTAATGTCTGAGAGAACAAAAGAAAGCCAAACTGTTCTGCTGTGTTTGGGGCAGAGGCGCTTTGGCTAAGCTAACGACAGCTTAGTTATCAGACCAAACTTACCACACAACACAGCACAGGCTTCGTTCCAGCTAACTGATGCTAAAATAACATTCGTTTAGAGGACATCCGAGAGTGCAAAGCCGAGTGACAGCTGTTAGTGTGAAAGCCGAAGCTGAACATAAACGTGCTCATTCGGCCGTTCACGCGTGGAATAGAAATCTGACATCACAATTTGAAATACTGGCATAATTTTTAAATACCACAATGTACCATATTGCCATTATACCGCCCAACCGCCCAACCCCCAGGGACATGTCAGATTGAGTGAGAATGCTTAATGCACAACGTACCAACAACTGTCTCCTCACTCTGAACATAGTGGATCAGCCAAGCCATGGGTGTTATAAATTTGCTTCTTGATTTTGCACTGGCACTGTAAGGGCTGATTTATCTAAAAAACGTAAGGAAAGATTTTGGGTAACATAGACATTATTATATTAGCCTTGTAGCTTTAAAGCAAACTTTACATGGCAGACCTGTCTTGGCTGATCCACCATATTTGGGCAAAAGTGTGTAAACTTAATTTTTCTATAAGCTTTTCTTTTAGGCTTCGCGTCCCACTGAAATCATTCTGGTTGGTAATCCATTTTAGCTCAGCACTCAGCCTTGCAAAAATGACAGACGGCCATGAAAACATAGTGGTCACTCCAATTAAAAACCCATCACGAGCTTAAAAGAAAGCACCACAGTGACGAGCAGGAAACGCAAATGATCAGGAGTGACTGCATAACCACTACTCCAGCCTGACTGAGCTACAGTTCGTACAGATTAATATGGAGCACACTTAAGACGGGGCAATATTATGGTCTGCTGAAAGCTGCTGCCAAAAATCCACAAAACCTCCGAATGTATTTTCCAGGCAGAATTTCTTACTCCTGGAATACTTTCCACTGTACTCATAACATTAACTGCAGTCACTGCCACGACACATTCTGAGGTCACAGAGTTTACAGCGTAAAGACATAAGCAGGCCATCCATGATGCAAAATAGCATATAGTTGCTTAAACCTCTAGATTAGTTGGACTCAATTTGCTTAAAAAGATTACACAGCATTTAACAGTCCCACCAAGTTATTACAGCCCTTTTTTGTGACTGTTGCAGGCCAAATTGCTTGATTTAACAGTGCGGTATCACAGTCATACTTGCAGAACATTTGCATTTTGTTTGCTATCTTTTAGGTTGATCTGTGATAATTGTGAGCCTGGTATATTTCTTCAACTTGTGAATGTAGCCTACTTAGTTCCACCTACTTTGTACTGCACCCTAGGAGTTAATAAGGAAATTGGTGCACCCATATTCCTGGAAAGATTGATTTAAGAAAGCATGACTGCTGCAGACAAAAAAACATTATAAATTATGAACTGTTTTGTCTATATATGTTGTGTATCTGTGTGTTTTATGGCAGGCAGTATTAAACATGCCAAAACAAATTTTCCTACATGTCAGGCAATAAAAACTAATACTGAAGACAGACAGCGGAGTGTCCACGAGGCAGAGGTTTCAAAACAAATAACCCTGTTATTTTTTCTAAACTATATTGAACTGCTTTCAAAACACCAAAAATGAATTCCAATTAATAATGAGACACACAGAGAACATATCAGTAGATGGCCAGGCCTAAAGCAAGCCCTGCTGAATTCCATTATATAAAGAAGCTCCCTGCTCTCTTTCCAGGAATCAGGGCAGCTGCTTTTAGCATTCTCAAAATCAATAGCCATTTTCATCTAAATGATTTGCTGCATTTTCTGCTGAAGTGTGATGCCTAAATGAGATGCACCACCAATGTTAGTCTACATAACAACACACAGCCAGTACAGTGTTCTAGTGATCTCTGGGTTGATATCACTATTTGTTTGACTACACAAAAAGAAATGAAAACAAACATTTGTTTAAGTCACCTTGAAATTGCTGGAGTTGACCCATGAAGTAGCCAGGCCATCCACCATCCTGTCCAACATGGTCTGATCATGCTCCAGATCATGTGACTTCTGTCTGTCCAAGATGTAGTCTATGATCTCCTGTCCAACCTGTAGTCGTCGCCCCAAGTCTTTCTGCATCACTTGCCCTACGATATACTCCACATTGGTCTCCATATTTCTTTAGGATTGGACCAGATAGAGACCGGAACCCAGAGCAATGCATAAAAAAGCAGCCAAACGCAATAAAAGTGATCAGCGAAGGTGCAAAACTGGCAATTTATTCCCAAAATGATGTCCCTTTATTTGGAAGCCTCTGTTGATTGTGCTGGCAAGTGTGCACCGTATGTTGGCTTAAAGCTATTACAGTAAACACTTCAAACACTGGTAACGGAAAGACTTTGGCAAGTCATCTGTGAAGGGAAGTGAATCCAACGCTGAGTCCCTCATTCTTCTGTAGTGTTCGTCGCTCTGCAAGAAAGTCAAATTGAAAGTTACCTGTATTGACCATCAAAGTAATCAAAGAAGCATACCCGACTAAAAGTACACCACAGAAGACAGCAAAAAGCAGTTAGCCTATAACTGATAGGGCCGAATATTAATAATGTCTTTGTCTTTATTTATTTAACCACTTCCTTCATACAATCTTTCTAATCTATGAACAGAATGGTAATCATATGCTAATTACACCAATCGGCTATAACACTACAACCACCTTCTTGTTTTTACACTCACTGTCTGTTTTATCAGCTCCACTTACCATATAGGTTCACTTTGTAGTTCTACAATTACAGACTGTAGTCCTGCTGCTGTGTCCACTCACTGTCCACTCTGTTAGACACACCTACCTTGTCAGTCCACCTTGTAGAGGTAAAGTCAGAGACGATAGCTCATCTGCTGCTGCACAGTTTGTGTTGATCATCCTCTAGTCCTTCATCAGTGGTCACAGGACGCTGCCCACAGGACGCTGTTGGCTGGATATTTTTGGTTGGTGGACTATTCTCAGTCCAGCAGTGACACTGAGGTGTTTAAAAACTCCAGTAGCGCTGCTGTGTCTGATCCACTCAGACCAGCGCAACACACACTAACACACCACCACCAAGTCAGTGTTACTGCAGTGCTGAGAGTGACCCACCACCCAAATAATATCTACTCTGTGGGGGTCCTGACCAATGAAGAACAGGGTAAAAGGGGGCCAACAAAGTATGCAGAGAAACAGATGGACTACAGTCTGTAATTGTAGAACTACAAAGTGAACCTATATAGTAAGTGGAGCTGATAAAATGGACAATGAGTGTAGAAACAAGGATTTTAATGTTATGGCTGATCAGTGTTTATTACAATCAGCGAAAATGCAAGCTATAGGTTCTGTAAAGCTCACCTGTGATACTTCATAACTGAGGATACAATTGCAATAATTTTGCAGATGATAACAGTTTGTCTAAATTTGCATGTCTGGCGAAGCTTAAGAACAATATCATCTTTTTAACCAATTTGAGTACATATATATTTTCTGTAATCTTCTGTCCCATTTAGAAAAACAGAGAAAAACCCAACATTATTGAAACAGCAAGGATCTATTCTGTCTATTGCTACCAGTGTAAACAGGATGGCCACTGGCCTGGGCTTCAGTGCCTGAGTGAGACAGGACCCAGCTGTCAAAAACAAAAATAAAAAGTGACCAGGACTACTGCTATAGGATCTGTCAGAAAGGTTTAAGAATCTCATAGTTTGGAAGAAAAATATTAAGTGTTCCCTCCTGTCAGACAGTACCAGGCAGATGCTAGCCAGCTAAGTTAGCTCTGTAGCCTCCTGCTGACAGCATGGCCTCAAAAACACTGCATTAACAGCAGAGCACCTAGAAAAGCTACCAGTAGTTTTACTTATTAACAGCAGCGGTTTACAAGTGAATCCGGAATTGTTTTAGTCTGATTTCAGCCTCCAAATACTGTGGGAGTTTAACCTCATCCTCAACCTGACAACATCGCAGTAACTTCGTTGGTTTTTTGTTAAAGTTGGACACCAGCCATTAGACTTAAATGCAGCTTAGCTTTGTTTTCTGGTAAAAAAATCATCCCATGACTATTCCAGTCCAAACAGAAAAGCCCTCCTGTCCCGTGTTAGAGCACCATTTATAACGATGCTAAAGTTGGCTTCCTATTCGCCAGCTTCAGCATTAATTTCCCCGTTCCACCTTAAATGGTGCAGCAGTTAAATTCTGACATTCTTCGTCCACCACATAAATGGACGGAGATGAAGCCAAGCTTACTCGAATTTTCCCGTTCCGCCTTAAATTCCGAGGCGCCAGAATGCAACCGCTGCACCAGTTAAGGTGGAACGGGAAAATTCAAACGAGAAGCTGGAGAATAACAAGCTTGACTTCAGCTTATTTGTTTATTAACTACCAAATACTCGTGCTTTTTCAATATAGCCGTGAAAAAGGCTAAGACGCCGCTTCACTTTTAAGAGCAATATTGTAAAAACTGACACAATGTGTTCGCTGTCTAAAAGGTAGCGTTAACTTCTGGCAGACCACACTGCAAAGTCAAGAAGTCAAGCATTTTGAATATGCAGTTAACTAGCTAGCTTAGCCGGTTAGCTGCACAGCCCACTGCAACAAACTATTTTCATTGATTAGCTGGGCATCAGCTAACTTGCAACAAGCTGGCAACGCAGAGGAAACTGCTCCTGCCCGTGGACGGAGAAATGCAGAAATGCAGCTACGTCCAGAAAAACTACAGCTACCGAAAGACAACGACATATAGACAGACGTACTTGCCGTGTTATCGCCCTGCTCTGAGCATCGCTCCAGCTTTTGTTGATCTGATATTTGTGTAAAACGGCAGCGCCGCTCTCCGCCCCGAAGCGCCTGCTCCGAATAAAGGCGGCAACGCGCATGCGCCTGTAGTAGCGCCTTTGCGCCTGCAGGCAAGAATATTGAGACAGCGCCTTCTCCTGGCTAACTGTTTCTGTAGGGGAAAAACTCCGGTTTTATTCCTTTTTTATCCCGTACTTCAATGCATAGAGATCCACCGAACGAACGCGTGCGCGCTGGTTAGCTTATAAAGGGGACTAGATTTACTGTAACACTGGGGAGTGTCCCTAATCGATCTTTTGTGCACTATGTAGTGAATGATTACAAGTGAGAGACCTGATTTGGTCACAAAGGTGCTAAGACTTTGCTGTCAAATTGGGGCTGTGTCTCGAATCGACCCTGTTCTTTATGTAGTGAACTGATTTAGGATTTAGCAATGTTCTGTGTGTAGCAATGACCAGTGTAGCAATTACCTTAGTCCACTCTCCCCTAATGACTTTCAGTAATGCAGCTCAGAATTAGACAGATGTGTACCATCACTATATATGCAGTTTTTTCTCCTTTTTTGTTGTTTTAATTTTTACATAATTTGAATCAGACCTACAAAATCTTTTTTTCAGTAATACTGATATTTTTTATCATTATTATTATTATTATTATTATTATTATTAATCATAATAATAATAATAATAATATTGTTTACTATTTTTAATAATAATAATAATAATAATAATAATAATAATGCGCTTATGAAATCATTTTGGCATTAACATCTTTAGATATCTGGCTCATGTCACCACCACTGTGCATTATTCTAACTCTGACTGATTTGTTTACAGCTTAACAACTTAATTTTGCAGGAATTAAACTCTTTGATCAAACATCCTACTAATCGAGTGTCTCTCAGTGTCACAACTTTCTGAACTGGCAAATATGTATCACTTTGGCCATTTTCCCCTGTTTAGATGACTTAGTTTTAAGGTGGAATTGAGCAGTTAGCCTTCTGTTATTAATGACAATTTTGTTTGAGACCAAAGGGCTTCATAAGGAATAATTTAATGAGTTTGACTATTTCAGATAGAAGTTTAAGACAGTTGTGTGATATTAGAGCCACAGTACTGTCTCAGTAAACCCATTTACAGCACTGCAAACATATGCAGCTGGTCTGAGAGGGATGTGGGCTTTGAGCTCATGGATTTGGTTGTTTATAAATTTTATCATAAGATATGACTTGCCTCATGTATTTGTTTGTACATTTATATTGAAGGATATCAGTTTCCCCAATAAAAATCCCAGTCCATATGACATCCACATCACCACTTACTGAGCTTAATAAGCTGTAACATTTGTTGTCATATAGCGTCAAAAACTACAGCTCATTTTTTGGCTGTGACTGACACTCCAAATTTACTAAGAAATCCACTATATGTCAACAAAAAGCCATCAGCGTTCAAGAGTTATTTTACTATCATAATATTGTTATCAAGCCATTTTTTAAGAAAGAGAGATTTATTCTTGAAAATAAATAGGCTTATTATTCCAAATATGACCTTTGTGAGGGGCACTGCTGTGTCTGATCCACTCGTACCAGCACAACACACACTAACACACCACCACCACGTCAGTGTTACTGCAGTGTTGAGAATGATCCACTACCCAAATAGTACCTGCTTTGTGAGGGTCCATGGGGGTCCTGGCCACTGAAGAACAGGGTTAAAGGGGGCTAACAAAGTATGCAGAGAAACAGATGGACGACAGTCTGTAACTGTAGAACTACAAAGTGCACCTATATAGTAAGTGGAGCTGATAAAATGGACAATGAGTGTAGAAACAAGGAGGTGGTCATAATGCTATGCCTGATCTATGTATACTAGTGTAAAAGTGTTTTGGATTGAAGGGTTAAAATGTTGTAAGAAGAAAGACTGGACACTGTATTGCACTGGATGTTTCAGATGTTGTTGTTTATTTCTCTATGGATAGATTAGATGTAAAAGTATTTCTTTTTTGTACAATGTTTAATTATTATGGTAAATTTCAAAAACAAGAAAGCAAAAAGGACTTTGGAATTGTATATTGATTATGATTTATTTAATGTGTAAATACAGGGGTGTACTTACTGCTGCTTGTTGTATGTTATGTTGTCTTAGACTTCCTACAATAATAATGATACGATCTTCATCCGGACTAATGCAGCGTTTCCCTTTTCGCAGCGGTCTTCCATCTACCGTCAGGTGGCGCCCCCTGCTGTGTGTAGCCGGTGCTGCCGCCGCCGCGGCGACCATTTATTATTTTTCCAGAGCAGAGAGGAGGCAGCAGAGCTGACCGTCATCGAAGGTACTCGGGTCATTCTACAGAAACGTCCGTTTTTGTGTTCCTAGCGTTTACAGATATATTAAACTTGAAAAACACAATACAATTTATTTATATTTTTAAATAAAACAATAAGTTAGTTTAACAATTACTCCTTCTTGATCCATCAATGTAGCAATATTGGTTTTTAAATCAATTATCTAGTATTCCAAGCACCACAGAAGTGCTTGTCCCCACAGTCATGTATGAAGGGTGAGGCCGTATTTTGAGGAAAAAACATTTTTCAGCAGTTTTAACTACAATAATCTATACATGACTATGGAACGTATAAATCAAATGACATAAAGAGAACAAATGCCAAATAAATATTATAAAATACATAATAAAAGTAGTTGTCCCCAAGAGTCGTGTCACTGGTGTTACCGCATAAGAAAAAATCTCTTATTTTGAAATAAAAATCACACTGTTGACATCACTTGACTTCCTTTTACCTATTTTCTGAGGATCTATGAAAAAAGCACATGGTGAGTTCACTGTGTCTTTCAGTTATCAGAGATTTTCTCATTTAGCTCATGATTTCATATGAAGCTTTTAGTTGACGTCACTGGTGTGACCTACTTTATTCTGAGGTAACTGTGAAAAAATAATGGAATAAATTAATTATTTTAGTGGATATTCCATGATTGACAACATGTGGTTTGATTCTCTGTAGCAGCCATTTTGTAAAATGCATTGTTCATTAAAAATGTCTCTGGTGTTACCTTTCTTACGTGTAACACCAATGACGATCGGTAACACCAGTGACTCCTATGGAGAGACAGAAAAGTGGACGTTTCTGTAGAATGACCCACACACAGACACGAGAACAGCTTGAAATAGTTGCTAATACACGCCGTTTACATCAACAAAACCCCTCGAATAGCAGAATTATTCCAGCTAGATGGCTAATATTTGAGTTCTTAGCATAGGTAGCTAAGTTAAATAGCTAGGTGGGCGCTAACATTGTTAAGTTCTTACATTGTAAAGTTATTTCTAACGAGTCAGAAATACAGAAAAGTCTCATTATTTAATTTATTCGCTTTTCTGGTTTGGAACCGGAGCTAGATAAACGTTAACTCTGAAATTAGCTAGCTAGTAAACTAGATAGACAGTAAGATGCTGCTGAAGGAAAGTCGTCACATCATCTCTGTTTACATTCAAAACTGAGGTTAAAGGGCAATTCTGTTGTTTTTTTATCCAAATTTCTGCATATCTAGCAACATCATTTAAATGTAAACAAATTCTTTCTCAGTGTTTTGATATGAAATGTGCCATTCTAGAGAAACAATTTGTGTCAGAATTCTCCACAACATAGTAGTGATAGGAACCAAATGTCCGAAGCCTTTAAAGGGCTAAGCCTTTAAAACTGTAGTTACCTTTTATTACCCAGTCCATGCGGTCCATTTACTGAAACTGTGTTGTGAAAACAGCCTATTTAGAATTCATTATTTCTGCAATGTCAGGAGAAGCAACTCATTTACATATATTTATTTAGCCTATAGCTGTTTAGCCCCGCCCAGTATTAATGAAGTTCTAGGGAAAGTTGAAGTTCTGAGTGCTTTTTGAATGAGGCACAATAGAGGCAGCCAATCAGAACAGACCTCATTTATCCTATATTAATCTTAAAAGCACAGTAACAAATATATCTGTTTAATTCTATGGGATAAAGAGAGGCTGGAAAATTGCCACGTAAAAATGAATTATGACATTTTCTGGTCCCAAAGATAATGTATATATTTCTTTAAAGAATTATATATAAAAACTCAGGAGACACATATAGATTCATTCATTATTTTAGACAGTAAGCAAAACAGCTTTATAGGTTGCACAGGTTGTCACTGCCATAGTAAGTTATATCTGATTATACGTCAGTGTTACAAATAACAGCAAAATACACAAAATACAGTTTAAATTTTAAAAGTTCAATTGCTATATCTTTTGTAAACATGCCTACTCACATCATAACATTTATTAGAGTGAGATTTTCTGTGTAGTAGAGCAGGAAAAGCCTTTCTTATGATGTATCTTGAGGGTGGGAGGAGCTTTTAAACAATGCATGCTGGTTATTATAGTGAGAGAACATTGATGGTTGAAAAGATAAATCATTAATTTTGTCAGTCTGATCATACTGAGAGATTCAGTCCTGCACCAGAATATTACATAACATGACACATAACATAGTAAATGGTAGTTTTAGGCCAGAATGCCCCTTTAAGGCAACATTAGGTAAGTATATAAAATGGTTCATTTTAGTTTTGTTATGTTGTGCACAATTTATAGTAGATTGTAAAGGTGTTTCTTATTGTGATGCTTTGTTCTTCTTTCCCTCTCTATCTCTCCATCTCTCTGTCTATCTGTGTCTATTTCCTTCATGCACTGGTGGACATCTTGTGTGTGAAACTTAATGTTTTGTTTTGTTTCTATGGACGTGCTTGCAGGATCACTGGACCCATCTGAGTGGATATCCATCCATCTGTCTGTCCATCGGCCCGTCCATCCATCTGCCCATCCATTCATTGATCCAGTACCAGACAGCAGTGCTTTGACCAAGCTGAACTGACTGGCCTCCACCATCATCACTTGGTGAGATCATCAGTTATTTGCATTTATCTGCATGAAGCCCCAACATTGCAGTTCACCATAAAACATGCACTCTTCAGATTACTGTGCAACAAGATAACATTATTAAATAACCCGTAACCTTTTATGTGTATATTATACATTATTTCTTTGGATTCTACTCGTTTTCTTTCACAATACTGTATTTTTGTTTCTTTAATCTGTGTATCTCCAGATCCTGCCATTCTGTCCAGAAATCCACATTCAGCTGATGATAAACTGGATAAACTATTTTATTTATAAATAAACATTGTTATTTTGTTCTTCTACATGTTTCTATGATTGGTTCATTTTAAAATGTCATTGTTAATCTAGTGGAAACAATGTTATGCCAATATAATGAATATGTAAGCTTGAGCTAAAAGAGATTCCTTTATATCATTACATAGGCAAAGCCAATGTAACGGTTATTCCATAGCGCTGGGGGCCTGTGGGCCTGTCCGACCACATTACGAATATCCATGAAAAATATTCAAACAAAAATAGCAATATAATTACCACTAAGCTCCAGTTCATTTTAATTATAATTATTTAAAGTCTTAAACATTGACTTTAACTACTTACAGAAAAATGTAACTAATAGGAGCATACATGTAAGATTTTGCACAGCTCTATGAATTGAATTGAAGATTTTGCTTGAAAATTTGGATTCAAATCCATGACATAACCAGAGAGAGATCCAATGTGAGTTTGTACAGAATTACCCACAAATAAGTATAAATTCTTATAAAGTATAGTAATTATAAATAAGTATAAATATTATTATTTATGTGGCCTGATTCATTGTAAATTGCAGCTCTACCCATAACTGTACCTGTGTACTGTAGTAGCTCACATACTTTAATATCTGAGTTAGAGATTAGATTACATCCACAACATTGAACATCTTGCCAGCAATTACACTGAATGCTGTATTGGGGGTGCACCTCATTTAAAAGGACCTGCAGTCACAGCTTTTCTTGCACAGCATTAAACATATCAACGCTGTAACATTTTGGGTTGTATTAAAGACAAATAAACAAGACATTTTAAAAGAAATGAAGGAGGCTTTTTTCTCTCCAGTTACAAGTTTTCCTCAGGTGTCAACCATGAATCAAATTTGAAAATGAGCAGCTCTGTGTGTTGAGGCCCTGTTTGGAATTTGCGTAACAGCAGTCTATTGCTGCACTTACAGTGTTACTGGATCCTCTCTTGCCTGAATCATCTCCTGTTGACCCGCTAAGGGCAGTGTTCCAGCCAGCATCTTTAGGCCAAACTTTTGAGGCCTCAACAGACTGAGAAACACCTGTGATTGGACTATTTGCTTAAGTTTGGTACTATAGTAATGTTTTTGCCTATAATGATCTACTCTGTGCTTTTTCCATTTCACATATTATCAGTTTATTAACTAACTTTAAAGGAAACATATACATGAAACTGTTTGAAGGGTTTAGCAACGTTGTCACAATCTAGAAGAACGACCCAGGTGGGACTCGAACCCACAATCCCCAGCTCCGGAGGCTGATGCCTTATCCATTAGGCCACTGGGCCACACACAAAGCAGTGTTTTCTGAGTTATGTTAAAGCTGAGTGCTGACTCTGGATTTGCCAGAGGCCAAGAGAATGCTACCTACAGAAGGGCATAGTACCAACAGTAAAATTTGGTGGAGGAGGGATAATGGTCTGAGGCTGTTTTTCAGTGTTTGGTCTCAGCCTCTTAGTTCCAGTGAAGGTTAATGTTAATGCTACAGCATACAGAGACATTTGGACAATTATATGCTATCAATTTTGTGCAAGCAGTCTGGGAAAAGCCCTTTCCTGTTCCAGTGTGAACGTGCCTCTGTGCACAAAATGAGCTCCATAAAGAGGTTCATACATGGAGTTTGGTGTGAAGGAGCTCCAGTGGCCTGCACAGAGCACTGACCTCGACCCCCCCTGAACACATTAGGATGAATTGGAATGCTTCAAATTCCCACAGACATGCTGCAAAGTAGGGCCAACTCTATTACAATGCCTATGATTTTGGAACAGGTTGTCCAACAAGCTCATTTAGGTGTGACGGTCAGGTGTCCACATATTTTTAGCTTTGTAGTGTATTGTTAAGAATCATTTTCCAATAGCTGGCGTTACATCAGCTGTATTTTAGGTTTAAATATGTGCAGCATATAAAAGGCTGTGTTGCACTGTATCACTCAGGCTGAACTACAGCAGCTACACACAGACGCGGCCCCCCTACTGATCAGCACGGGGGCTTCGACCTGCTCTGTTTCCGGTCTCTGTTGACAAGTGGCACTTGCAATATCAGGATGAGTGCTTTGGATCGACAGATACGAGCTGTGAGCTGCCAAACGAAATGTTTACACAAGTGTGAAAATTTCCACATATATTATTTATGCCTTTTACTGATTTAGCGAGGTCAAGAAAAAAGAAATTATTTAGATACCAAGTTATACAGAACTCATTTATACATATTTCCAGCCATAAGCAGATGTTTTAGCTTCTACAATCGTGTTCGAAATCCAAAACAAGTGCTTGATTTTTTAATGTAATTGTAAGTGCAGCACATTAAATTTTATACTTTACAGTAGAATGAACATTTTAAACATTTTACTTCATGCTACTGCAGCATGTTTTATGGCACTGTAACTCAAGCATAACGGACACTGTCTACTTTGTTGCTCATTCTTGTATGCCTTTTTGTCCAAAGGTTATTTTCATTTTTATAATAAAATATCCTGAGTTCTTACCATTGGTCATTCTATGTAAGAACAATTGAGCTCACAACGTCGACTTTTGAAAATCACAGAGTCACTATAAATTAATGTTTTATCATATTTAGGGAACATAATTATTTGATTCAATGAAAAGTCTAATGTCTCTAAAACCCAAAAATCCCCAGCACATGACATCAGACTAGTGTAGTGAAATGATCTACACCAGGCAGCAACGCAGACGTTAAGAAGAGCTATTTTGTCCCTTTTCAACAAAAATCAAACCACCCAAGAGCCACACTTTATGTTCATTTTATTAGTTTACCATCTTGGCTGTAAATATGCCTCACTAAGTGCTAATGTGCTTGTACAGGCTAAAAAATATAATGTAAATGAAAATACAGACTTGATTTTCTTTGCTTTAAGCTTTAGCTCAGCTATAGCTGCTTTTCTCCAGCAGGATATTTTTCCACAAAACTGCAATAGCTTCTTCTAAAATGTCTCTTAACATTTGATATTTTACGAGGCTGAAGTCAGCCCCTCATTCGCCAGTTTCTTGTTCAAATTTTTCTGTTCCACCTTAAATGCAGCTAACTGCTGCACAATTTGAGGTGGAACAGGGAAAATTCAAACAAGAAGCTGGCGAATGGCAAGTTGACTATTATATAGGTTCTGCCTTGACTGTACCAGTAGGACAGAACCTCTTCTGGCTTACATTTTCATTACATAGGCTTAACAATGTTTCTAACAGATTTTTGAAAAACAAATCAATCTCAGAAACATTTAAACGAACAAAATAACAATATTTATTTACGAAGAAAATACAGAGTAATTATATTTACAATATTTACAAGATTTATACAAGACACCATCACATGCAACACACACACACACACACACACACACACATCTTCATTCCAGTCCATCATCAGCTGAATGTGGATTTCTGGACAGAACAGCAGGATCTGGAGAAACACGGATACAGAAACAAAAAAAAAACATTATGAAAGAAAAGTAAGAGTAGAAACATACAGAAAAGTATCAGGGTTATTTAGTAACGTTATTTTGTTGGACAGTGATCTGAAGAGTTCTTTGCGTGTTTTATGGTGAACTGCTGTGTTGGGGCTTCATGCAGATAAAGCCAAATAACTTGATGAACCTACCGAGTGATGATGGTGGAGGCCAGTCAGTTCAGCTCGGTCAAAGCTCTGCTGCCTGGTACTGGATCGATGAGTGGATGGATGGATGAACGGAGGGCTGGACAGACAGATGGATGGGTAACGTCACTGAGATGGGTCCGGTGATCCTGCAAGCACATCAAGAGAGGAAAAGGCAAACAACGTGTCCACCAATACATGAGAGAGAGAGAGAGAGAGAGAGAGAGAGAGAGAGAGAGAGAGAGAGAGAGATAAAGGAAGATAGGCAAAGAGAGATGATAAGAAATACCCTTAAAATCTACTATGAAGTTGTCTGTAACATATATAACTATATATAACATAACATAACTAAAATTAATCATTTTATATTCTTACCTTATGTTGCCTCAAAGGGGCATTCTGGCCTAAAACTACCATTTACTATGTATGCATTGCACAAATATGTCATACAATGAGACCCCTCCACCCCACCCTCACAATGATAAACAAATGCACTGATGTAACTGTAACGTCAGCAATCTAACTTTCTTGTGCATTAGCCAGCTAGAGGCCAAAAAACATTTCAAAACTGCTCTCATGTATTCACCCCAAAGAGAATGTATTTGTTCAAATGTTCATCCCACCTTCAAGATACTAATCTGAAGGGAGTTTACCTAGTCTGTATCCTAGACAATCTCACTAAGAACTACTGCGGCGCAGCTGACGAGATGCAAGTAGTCAAGTTTACAACAGGTATACAGATATAGCAATGGTTAAAGTTTTAATTTTGGCCAGAGTGCACCTTTAATAAGCAATTCTTAACAAAACTACAACAATAATAAAACACTGACTACAATTAAGCGCCCTGTACAACGAGTTACCAGTACTTGATACATGTATCCAAAGGACCACCTCTGAGCAAATATAGCACAGCAGTGACAGCACAGCAGTGACACTGTTATGTGTAATGCTGGTATGTGTTTAATCAGGCACAGCGGCGTTGCTGGAGTTTTTAAACACCTCAGTGCTATTACTGGATTGAGTCTGGTCTGCCAACCAAAGAGGCAATGCTAGTTCTGAAACAGAGACAGACTTCCGATGAGGGGCTAGAGTAGGAGGGGTGTCGAACTCAGGTCCTGGAGAGTCACAGCTCTGCAGAGATTAAAGTCCCTCTTCTCCTGTCATCACTCCCCACCATTTTGTGTTTTCCATGATCAAACAGAACCAAGTCATATCATTAACTAATGAGCATCTCCTTCTTAGCTGAATCAGTTATGTTAAATCAGACAAAACACAAACTGGTGGCACTGGAGGACTGGGGATAGAAAACACTGTTCTAAAATGGTAAGATACATTTGCTAATTAGCTGTATAGTTGAAAATTGGATGCTAAACCTTGCAGTGTTGTGGACCACCAGTGCTGCGGTCTAACACAGAAAAGTGGTTCTCATCTCCAGTCCTGGAGACCCACTGCCCCACAGAGTGTCAAGTACTTACTCTCCCCAATCAGAGGTGGAAAATTTAGGCTCAAATTGTAAAATTCTCCCACAACAGCAAAGGTTGGTCTAAGCTAATTAGAGAGGGAGCTGTTTCATGAAGGGTTTAATAATTAGCTGATTTAATGTTGCTGTGTCTAATACACTTGTACCACAGCAACAGAGGAGCTACACTCAGCAACTGTAAACCTACGAAGGGAAGCTGTTTCACAAAACAAATGGGTCATAAAATGGTCACAAATGTAGGTCCAAGGTAGATAAACCGAACAGCTGGCAACACAGTATACAGTGCACTTAATAGCATACTTAAAATTACAAATATTATACTGGTGTGATTAATAAAAATGAAACAATTAAACTATATATGTTGTGTTTTAAGAAAGGCAGAGATGTTAAACGCCCTGTAGTCTCGCCAACAGCTGCTGGACATGTTTCTCCAGGCAGTCCCACAGAGTGAGGGCCAGGGATCCAGGGTCCATATAAACATGCTCCTCTCTGCCAAAGATCTCCTCCAGCAGGAGCATTGCCTCATCCTGAGAGAGAGACAGAACTAGTGTTATGCTATTACATCATGTTAATTTACACATTGTCACTTTAAACAGTAAGAAAAGAATTCTACTGCTGTTCACTTGTGTTATTAATGCTATTAATGTGCTACTTACCAGGAGCAGGAACAAGTACTTGTCAGCCCTGGGTCTCCTCTGCGTGCTGACAGGACTGAAAGAACAAATCATGTCCACCAAGTGCCCAAGGAAACCTCCTGGTGTCTGGAATAGAGACAAAAAATGTGAGTAGATCATTTACAGTCATTATGGGTGCATAAGTATATGATACAAGAATCAGAATAAGAGTCTTTATCTAAGATCTAATGTTACATCTCACATTCTACTGAATAGAACTGTATCCATTTGGAGAGCCGGTGATTACAGCACTAATGTATCTAATACAGGACACAAAGTCACATTTGATTCTAAGAAAAAGAGTTTCTTACTGGATAGATCGGAGGCCTCGCTCCCTGCAGCACTCCCATAAGAACCAGCTCAAAGACAACGTCTAAGAGGTTGAAGTGCTGAATCTAACAGGATAAGAAACATTAGTATTACAGTCTCATTCACTGTAGTAAAGCAGTGATCATGTTACGAACTGAGGCCAAGAGAGCATGAACTCACCCCAACTTGCGCCAGCTCAGTGCAAATAGCTTCATGATGTGAGGCATCCTGAGCAAAGGCCACCAGGCGAGCATATGCCTCCTGGAAGGCTGGAAGCTCCTGCAGAAAAAAGAGATACATTCGTTTCATTGTTTGCTTGTGAGATAATTCAGACTGAACAGTTCAGATTTGGTTTAGATGACAGTGTTTTGTTACCCTGGCATTTCGAGCAGCCAGTCCACCAAGAAGGACTCTGCCTGCTATGCTGATGTATTTTGCATGGTGGCTGTTGCTCAGAACAAGCTGTAGAATGAAACCAAGAAAATGGCTGTCGGAAAAGATCAACTGAACAGGTATTGGTGTATAAAGACAGAGTTACTGAGTATTGAGAATGAAGTTTCATCTGATAGACTTACAGTGAAAGCCTGGCGCAATGCTGCGAGCCTGAGAGGAAAGTTGGGACTCTTCATGGCAAAGTAGGTACTGTAGTGACAAAACAAACTTCATATATGTGGATACTTTGTAAATATCATTTGAAATAAATTTAATTAGCAGAGCTTTAATTCTCACAGCAAAAAGATGAAAACTAAATTACTTACTACAAAGCGGGCACTTGATACGCCTCACGAGGCACAGTGAGATCTCCAGCTGCCTATAACATCATATATGAAATTCTTACTACCTGACCAGTTAAACTGCTGAAAATGTAGTCAGAACTGATAAGAGCAGTTTGCATAGTCTTACCTCAGGAGCACTCTGGGTGGAAGAAGGCAGCTCGGGTGCTGAATGAGGTGGCGAGGGTGGCAGCGGCGGAGCCTGGGGACAAGAAATTTGTCGGCTCTGAGGAGATGCCGAATCTCCAGATGCCTGTAACACCAAATATGCAGTACAGTGAGTTGCAGTAAAATGGGACAGTGTGTTGGTTAATGTAAGACACATAGGTTGTAAGTCCTGAATAACAAAGTCATTATTTTATGGTACTTGAGTAGCAAAATCTACTCATTGCTCATTTAGAAAGCATCAGTTAATAGCTGAATAAACAAGTTTCTAAAACTGGCCCGAAATACATGAATCCATCTTACTTATTACTGACAAAATGGATAAGAGCAATGTGCATGGTGTTACCTCAGGAGCACTCTGCTCTGTGGATGCTGGGTCTCCTTGAGGCTGAGGTGGAGAGGGTGCCACAGGTGTAACGTGTGGAGGTAACCATTCCTCGCTCAGGGAAGATGCATCATCTCCAGCTGCCTGTAATGTCAAACATACAGCACTTATTACTGAAAAATAAAACTGCTGAAAATGTAGGTAGGATTGATAAAAGTCTGTTTATTCTTACCTCAGCAGCACTCTCACTAAGGGACCCTGGGTCAGGCTGAGGCTCGGCCAGTGGCACCGGTGGAGAGGGTGCCGATGGATGGCTCTGGGGTGCTGGATCATCTCCAGCTACCTATAATGTCAAATATACAGTGCTTATTACTAAAAAAACTGCTGAAATACGTAATTAGAACTAGTAAGAGTCTTTTCTTTTTCTTACCTCAGCAGCTCTCTCACTAGGAGACCCTGGGTCAGGCTGAGGCTCAGCCAGTGGCACCAGTGAAGAGGGTGCCGATGGATGGCTCTGGGGTGCTGCATCATCTCCAGCTGCCTAAAATGCCAAACATATAGAAAGTATTACTGATAAATAAAACTATGAAAACGCAGTTGTATTTGATAACAGTAATCTGTATAACTTTACCTCAGGAGCAGTTGGACAGGAAAATCCTGGGTTTGAAGGAGTCCTCAGTGGTGACTGAGGTGGGGAAGGTGGCCTCAGAGGACTTTGAGGAGGTGCAATAGGCTCATGTTGAGAGCATACAGCCACAGGTGCTAGGAATACAAAATATAGCTGAATATTATGTATGTCATGTAACTGTGATGATTAAAATACAATTAAACAATAGAAGTCATGGTTTTATGCCAGTGCTGCTTCACAGTATGTGTGATCATGACATCACATGGTATAAAAATGTTATTTTTGTATTTTGCTGTTATTTGGAACATTCGAACAACCTGTACAGCTATTGTGGTTTGGCATCCAAAAAGTTGCTGAAAGCATTGCACGTTTGGGTAAATGCTCTTTTATTTTAAACAGGCACTTTAACAGCAGCAAGAAATGCCAAGCCCAGTGGGGGAGTAATGAGGAAAGACACAATGTTTGAGGAAAGTTACAAAGTCCACTTTCCTTGGACACAAGTTAACAAAGTAACACAAATACACTAACAACAACAACAACAACACATCAGCAACAAAAGAACAATAATCGTCCTTTTTTCGAGTAACAGAAATGGTCATAATTAATTTTTACACGACCGTTTTCTAGTCTCTCTTTATCCCATAGAAGTTTTTTTATTTTCCTTTAAGAATAATATAAGATTATTTTATTATTAATTTTTATATTATTGTTATTTTATTAATATAGGATAAATGAGCTCTGTTCTGATTGGCTGCCCTGTATTGTGCCTCATTAAAAAGCACTCAGAACTTAACCTCTTCAACTCCTTGAGACCACCAGTGGTTCCAAAATGCACTTCTTCATATTCTTCATAACTTTCATATTTCATAAGCTACATTCAAAAAGTCAGTGTATTATGAAAGCTGTAACTGTCTTTTTTCCAGTCAAATAGATGGGTAATGCAATTTTAAACCCATATAATAGAAGAAGCTGAACTCACAATTTGTCTACTGAAAGTCTACCCATTTTTCCACAAAAAACTATAAACAGATGGCGTCTCTTTAGTGATCTGCTCTGTAAAAATTATTTTTATAAAATAATACAAAGAGAGTCTAAGATTTTTGGCTTTCAGCAGTGAATTGTAAGCATATAGCAATATGTGTATGATCATAAAATAAATTTTCTGTTAATTTGAGGGGAGCTTTTACATAAATAAATAAATAAATAAACATTTACTTTTATTTCATGCAGTTACTGAATAATGTGCCTTACGGTTTGGTCATGTAAATTCAGATGAAAAAAAACAAAATATACCCTGGAGAATACACCTTCCCTAGAACCTCATTATAACTGGGCGGGGCTGAACAGCTGTAGGCTAATTAAATAATTGTAAATGAGTTGGTTCTCCTGACCATACAGAAACAATGAATTCTAAACAGGCTGTTTTTACAGCACAGTTTCCATATATGGACCGCATGGACTGGGTAATAAACGGTACTGTTCTTCGTTATATGAGCGCTTTAAAGGCTTCAGACGTTTGGTTCCTATCACTACCACGTTGTAGACAGTTCTGACACAAATTTCTCTAAAATGCCACATTTCATATCAAAACACTGAAAATGAGTTTTGTTTACATTTAAATGATGTAGGTCTGCAGATATTCAGGGGAAAAACCCGACAGAATTGCCCTTTAACCTCAGTTTTGAATGTAAACAGATAGAGACGATTTAACGACTTTCCTTCAGTAGCATCTAACCTAACTGTGTACCTAGTTTAACGTTACTAGGTAGCCAATTTCAGAGTTTACGTTTATCTAGCTCCGGTTCCAGACCATAAAATGCAGAAATTGAATATTAAGACACTTAATAGTCAATAAAGTAACGTTAGTCAGTAAAGAAACTTAGCTAGCGTTAGCTAACTTAGCTAGCTAACAACATTAGCGCTCAACTAGCTATTTAACCTAGCTACTTATGCTAATAACTCAAATATTAGGTGTCTAGCTGGAATAATTCTGCTATTTGAGCGGTTCTGTTGATGTAAACACTGTTTATTAGTAACTATTTTAGGCTGTTTTTGTGTCTGTGTGTACCTTCGATGACGGTCAGCTCTTCTGCCTCCTCTCTGCTCCTCTGCCGATTCCTCCGTCTGGAAAAATAATAAATGGTCGCCGCGGCGGCGGCAGCCCCGGCTACACACAGCAGGGGGCGCCAGTTGACGGTAGATGGAAGACCGCTGCGAAAAGCGAAACGCTGCATTAGTGCGGATGAAGATCGATGTCGGAGCTCAGGATAAATCAGCTCGTCTGTTGTGGTGTCGATGAACGACTGAAGATCAACGTTCTTTTCCACCTGTTTAGAGCGATGATGGAGCGTCTAGTGTTCCATTTCACTGCGTCACAGTGAGACTCCAGAGTTTGAATTCAAACTTGTTTACAGCGCTTGGTCTCCGTGGAAAGAGACGTAATCAAGGCACCAATAGGCGCCTGTTTGAAGCACCGTGTCCCGCATAAGCACTGATGAGCTGGTGTCCCGCTCGGTTTGCCTGGTTGCAATGATTAGTGGGTATGTTTGAGCAGGAATGTGTCCAAGCATTGCTGGACACCGGGCCTCCAAATATCCTTAATTGTGCGTCCTCCTTTCCTTTAAAACGTCTCTGACTATAGAAACCAAAATAATCTACCGCTGTACACTGTCATAAATATGTTTGCAGAGGAAATTATTCCATTTTCAGTGAAACTACCAAGATGTACCCCGTGTGTCCATGAAAGTAAATACTAAATTGTTGTCAGTAGGAACAAAATGCTCTGGTTAAAAAAATAGGTATATTTAAGAATAATTTCACAATCAGAGAATCTTTGGTGTGAAATATTTTTGTTATGAATTTTCACTTCTTACATCATTAAACTGAAGTTTTTTCATTGTGCTGAGTGATCATGTTACCAAAATGTACTCCAACACTGCTGTAGACGTCACATGTGTATATAAGTAAGAACAGTAGTCTTCACCTGTTGTTCTTAATTATAATGAAGTAATGGCTTTAGTACAATACTTCCCATTCATTTTGGACTTGCTGGGGAGAGCCCTCTGGCAAAGCCAGAAGACATCGAGTGGCAGTCCTCCACTCTAGAAGTGCTTTGCTGAGGCCCAGTGGCCTAATGGATAAGGCATCAGCCTCCGGAGCTGGGGATTGTGGGTTCGAGTCCCATCTGGGTCGTTCTTCTAAAAACCATGGCTGATGATTAGTGCCATCTTGGTCTGTGCCATAGTGGGTAATCTGGTAACTGTTAGCTTACGCATTTAAGCAAAAGAAGGCTCAGAGAAACTTCAAATGCTACATTTAAGAGTATGTCTCTAGTAGTGAATGGGAGGTAGTGTGTAACTGCTGCTTTATTTAAGGTGGATCAGAAAATCAAATAAATAGTCATCATCAGCCTCGAAAGATTAGCATGTCAAATTCAGAGTCATTTCCAATTTAGCAATTTCCATAAATTAATCATGAAAAGATGGACAGCAGTGGCACCATCTTGTGCACACGGTGGCACCAAGAAAACCAAAACGAAAAGCAGGATGAGGACATAGCTGAGCAAGTGGGCACTGAAGAATGCTGACAGGACCTAAGCTAGCATTAATTTATAGCATATTGACTGTCAAAATTATGTCACATTTAAGATAAAAGCTTTTGCCAGTATTCACGTCATCACTAACTAGCCATCTTAGCTATCTCAGTGTAGCATGTAAATAATAAATAAGAGCAAGAAATGAACAAGACTAAAATGCACAGATTTTAGAAAAAGTTATTTTGCATGACAGCAATGCTGTATGTGTGTGTGATTGTTGTGTGTGTGTGTAGCAGGAGAAATTTAGTTTAAGGTGGACTGGTCATGTTACGATCATGTTACCCTTAGTCTGAAAAGAAGTCCCACTTAGACCCTGCACTGGAAGAAGTTCCAGTTAAATGACTGAAGACAGTACGAGCTGTGAGCTGCTGAAAATTTCCACATATATTATTTATGCCTTTTACTGATTTAGCGAGGTCAAGAAAAAAGAAATTATTTAGATACCAAGTTATACAGAACTCATTTATACATATTTCCAGCCATAAGCAGATGTTTTAGCTTCTACAATGGTGTTCGAAATCCAAAACAAGTGCTTGATTTTTTAATGTAATTGTAAGTGCGGCACATTAAATTTTATACTTTACAGTAGAATGAACATTTTAAACATTTTACTTCATGCTACTGCAGCATGTTTTATGGCACTGTAACTCAAGCATAATGGACACTGTCTACTTTGTTGCTCATTCTTGTATGCCTTTTTGTCCAAAGGTTATTTTCATTCCATTTGGTCATTCTATGTAAGAACAATTGAGCTCAACGCCGACTTTTGAAAATCATAGAGTCACTATAAATTAATGTTTTATCATATTTTGGGAACATAATTATTTGATTCAATGAAAAGTCTAATGTCTCTAAAACCCAAAAATCCCCAGCACATGACATCAGACTAGTGTAGCTGAAATGATCTACACCAGGCAGCAACGCAGACGTTAAGAAGAGCTATTTTGTCCCTTTTCAACAAAAATCAAACCACCCAAGAGCCACACTTTATGTTCATTTTATTAAGTAACAGTTTACCATCTTGGCTGTAAATACGCCTCACTAAGTGCTAATGTGCTTGTACAGGCTAAAAAATATAATGTAAATGAAAATATAGACTTGATTTTCTTTGCTTTAAGCTTTAGCTCAGCTATAGCTGCTTTTCTCACATCTCCAGCAGGATATTTTTTAATATTTAACATTTGATATTTTACGAGGCTGAAGTCAGCCCCTCATTCGCCAGTTTCTTGTTCAAATTTTTCTGTTCCACCTTAAATGCAGCTAACTGCTGCACAATTTGAGGTGGAACAGGGAAAATTCAAACAAGAAGCTGGCGAATGGCAAGTTGACTATTATATAGGTTCTGCCTTGACTGTACCAATAGGACAGAATCTCTTCTGGCTTACATTTTCATTACATAGGCTTAACAATGTTTCTACCAGATTTTTGAAAAACAAATCAATCTCAGAAACATTTAAACGAACAAAATAACAATATTTATTTACAAAGAAAATACAGAGTAATTATATTTACAATATTTACAAGATTTATACAAGACACCATCACATGCAACACACACACACACACACACACACACATCTTCATTCCAGTCCATCATCAGCTGAATGTGGATTTCTGGACAGAACAGCAGGATCTGGAGAAACACGGATACAGAAACAAAAAAAACGATATTATGAAAGAAAAGTAAGAGTAGAAACATACAGAAAAGTATCAGGGTTATTTAGTAACGTTATTTTGTTGGACAGTGATCTGAAGAGTTCTTTGCGTGTTTTATGGTGAACTGCTGTGTTGGGGCTTCATGCAGATAAAGCCAAAACTTGATGAACCTACCGAGTGATGATGGTGGAGGCCAGTCAGTTCAGCTCGGTCAAAGCTCTGCTGCCTGGTACTGGATCGATGAGTGGATGGATGGATGAACGGAGGGCTGGACAGACAGATGGATGGGTAACGTCACTGAGATGGGTCCGGTGATCCTGCAAGCACATCAAGAGAGGAAAAGGCAAACAACGTGTCCACCAATACATGAGAGAGAGAGAGAGAGAGAGAGAGAGATAAAGGAAGATAGGCAAAGAGAGATGATAAGAAATACCCTTAAAATCTACTATGAAGTTGTCTGTAACATATATAACTATATATAACATAACATAACTAAAATTAATCATTTTATATTCTTACCTTATGTTGCCTCAAAGGGGCATTCTGGCCTAAAACTACCATTTACTATGTATGCATTGCACAAATATGTCATACAATGAGACCCCTCCACCCCACCCTCACAATGATAAACAAATGCACTGATGTAACTGTAACGTCAGCAATCTAACTTTCTTGTGCATTAGCCAGCTAGAGGCCAAAAACATTTCAAAACTGCTCTCATGTATTCACCCCAAAGAGAACGTATTTGTTCAAATGTTCATCCCACCTTCAAGATACTAATCTGAAGGGAGTTTACCTAGTCTGTATCCTAGACAATCTCACTAAGAACTACTGCGGCGCAGCTGAAGAGATGCAAGTAGTCAAGTTTACAACAGATATACAGATATAGCAATGGTTAAAGTTTTAATTTTGGCCAGAGTGCACCTTTAATAAGCAATTCTTAACAAAACTACAACAATAATAAAACACTGACTACAATTAAGCGCCCTGTACAACGAGTTACCAGTACTTGATACATGTATGTGCATTTGAATGTAGGTACAGAATTACAGACTGTAGCCCATCTGCTGGTGAAACATCACCCCCCTACTGTGCTGTGCTGAGAATGGTCTACATTCAAATAATATCTGGCCAAAAGACCACCTCCGACCAAATATAGCACAGCAGTGACAGCACAGCAGTGACACTTATGTGTAATGCTGGTATGTGTTTAATCAGGCACAGCGGCGTTGCTGTGAGTTTTTAAACACCTCAGTGCTGTTACTGGATTGAGTCTGGTCTGCCAACCAAAGAGGCAATGCTAGTTCTGAAACAGAGACAGACTTCCCATGAGGGGCTAGAGTAGGAGGGGTGTCGAACTCAGGTCCTGGAGAGTCACAGCTCTGCAGAGATTAAAGTCCCTCTTCTCCTGTCATCACTCCCCACCATTTTATGTTTTCCATGATCAAACAGAACCAAGTCATATCATTAACTAATGAGCATCTCCTTCTTAGCTGAATCAGTTATGTTAAATCAGACAAAACACAAACTGGTGGCACTGGAGGACTGGGGATAGAAAACACTGTTCTAAAATGGTAAGATACATTTGCTAATTAGCTGTATAGTTGAAAATTGGATGCTAAACCTTGCAGTGTTGTGGACCACCAGTGCTGCGGTCTAACACAGAATAGTGGTTCTCATCTCCAGTCCTGGAGACCCACTGCCCCACAGAGTGTCAAGTACTTACTCTCCCCAATCAGAGGTGGAAAATTTAGGCTCAAATTGTAAAATTCTCTCACATTTTTGTTCCAACTACTAGCTTAGACCAACAGCAAAGGTTGGTCTAAGCTAATTAGAGAGGGAGCTGTTTCATGAAGGGTTTAATAATTAGCTGATTTAATGTTGCTGTGTCTAATACACTTGTACCACAGCAACAGAGGAGCTACACTCAGCAATTGTAAACCTACGAAGGGAAGCTGTTTCACAAAACAAATGGGTCATAAAATGGTCACAAATGTAGGTCCAAGGTAGATAAACCGAACAGCTGGCAACACAGTATACAGTGCACTTAATAGCATACTTAAAATTACAAATATTATACTGGTGTGATTAATAAAAATGAAACAATTAAACTATATATGTTGTGTTTTAAGAAAGGCAGAGATGTTAAACGCCCTGTAGTCTCGCCAACAGCTGCTGGACATGTTTCTCCAGGCAGTCCCACAGAGTGAGGGCCAGGGATCCAGGGTCCATATAAACATGCTCCTCTCTGCCTAAGATCTCCTCCAGCAGGAGCATTGCCTCATCCTGAGAGAGAGACAGAACTAGTGTTATGCTATTACATCATGTTAATTTACACATTGTCACTTTAAACAGTAAGAAAAGAATTCTACTGCTGTTCACTTGTGTTATTAATGCTATTAATGTGCTACTTACCAGGAGCAGGAACAAGTACTTGTCAGCCCTGGGTCTCCTCTGCGTGCTGACAGGACTGAAAGAACAAATCATGTCCACCAAGTGCCCAAGGAAACCTCCTGGTGTCTGGAATAGAGACAGAAATGTGAGTAGATCATTTACAGTCATTATGGGTGCATAAGTATATGATACAAGAATCAGAATAAGAGTCTTTATCTAAGATCTAATGTTACATCTCAAATTCTACTGAACAGAACTGTATCCATTTGGAGAGCCGGTGATTACAGCACTAATGTATCTAATACAGGACACAAAGTCACATTTGATTCTAAGAAAGAGAGTTTCTTACTGGATAGATCGGAGGCCTCGCTCCCTGCAGCACTCCCATAAGAACCAGCTCAAAGACAATGTCTAAGAGGTTGAAGTGCTGAATCTAACAGGATAAGAAACATTAGTATTACAGTCTCATTCACTGTAGTAAAGCAGTGATCATGTTACGAACTGAGGCCAAGAGAGCATGAACTCACCCCAACTTGCGCCAGCTCAGTGCAAATAGCTTCACGATGTGAGGCATCCTGAGCAAAGGCCACCAGGCGAGCATATGCCTCCTGGAAGGCTGGAAGCTCCTGCAGAAAAAAGAGATACATTCGTTTCATTGTTTGCTTGTGAGATAATTCAGATTGAACAGTTCAGATTTGGTTTAGATGACAGTGTTTTGTTACCCTGGCATTTCGAGCAGCCAGTCCACCAAGAAGGACTCGGCCTGCTATGCTGATGTATTTTGCATGGTGGCTGTTGCTCAGAACAAGCTGTAGAATGAAACCAAGAAAATGGCTGTCAGAAAAGATCAACTGAACAGGTATTGGTGTATAAAGACAGAGTTACTGAGTATTGAGAATGAAGTTTCATCTGATAGACTTACAGTGAAAGCCTGGCGCAATGCTGCGAGCCTGAGAGGAAAGTTGGGACTCTTCATGGCAAAGTAGGTACTGCAGTGACAAAACAAACTTCATATATGTGGACACTTTGTAAATATCATTTGAAATAAATTTAATTAGCAGAGCTTTAATTCTCACAGCAAAAAGATGAAAACTAAATTACTTACTACAAAGCGGGCACCTGATACGCCTCAGGAGGCACAGTGAGATCTGCAGCTGCCTATAACATCATATATGAAATTCTTACTACCTGACCAGTTAAACTGCTGAAAATGTAGTCAGAACTGATAAGAGCAGTTTGCATAGTCTTACCTCAGGAGCACTCTGGGTGGAAGAAGGCAGCTCGGGTGCTGAATGAGGTGGACAGTGTGGCAGCGGCGGAGCCTGGGGACAAGAAATTTGTCGGCTCTGAGGAGATGCCGAATCTCCAGATGGCTGTAACACCAAATATGCAGTACAGTGAGTTGCAGTAAAATGGGACAGTGTGTTGGTTAATGTAAGACACATAGGTTGTAAGTCCTGAATAACAAAGTCATTATTTTATGGTACTCGAGTAGCAAAATCTGCTCATTGCTCATTTAGAAAGCATCAGTTAATAGCTGAATAAACAAGTTTCTAAAACCGGCCCGAAATACATGAATCCATCTTACTTATTACTGACAAAATGGATAAGAGCAGTGTGCATGGTGTTACCTCAGGAGCACTCTGCTCTGTGGATGCTGGGTCTCCTTGAGGCTGAGGTGGAGAGGGTGCCACAGGTGTAACGTGTGGAGGTAACCATTCCTCGCTCAGGGAAGATGCATCATCTCCAGCTGCCTGTAATGTCAAACATACAGCACTTATTACTGAAAAATAAAACTGCTGAAAATGTAGGTAGGATTGATAAAAGTCTGTTTATTCTTACCTCAGCAGCACTCTCACTAGGGGACCTTGGGTCAGGCTGAGGCTCGGCCAGTGGCACCGGTGGAGAGGGTGCCGATGGATGGCTCTGGGGTGCTGGATCATCTCCAGCTACCTATAATGTCAAATATACAGTGCTTATTACTAAAAAAACTGCTGAAATACGTAATTAGAACTAGTAAGAGTCTTTTCTTTTTCTTACCTCAGCAGCTCTCTCACTAGGAGACCCTGGGTCAGGCTGAGGCTCAGCCAGTGGCACCAGTGAAGAGGGTGCCGATGGATGGCTCTGGGGTGCTGCATCATCTCCAGCTGCCTAAAATGCCAAACATATAGAAAGTATTACTGATAAATAAAACTATGAAAACGCAGTTGTATTTGATAACAGTAATCTGTATAACTTTACCTCAGGAGCAGTTGGACAGGAAAATCCTGGGTTTGAAGGAGTCCTCAGTGGTGACTGAGGTGGGGAAGGTGGCCTCAGAGGACTTTGAGGAGGTGCAATAGGCTCATGTTGAGAGCATACAGCCACAGGTGCTAGGAATACAAAATATAGCTGAATATTATGTATGTCATGTAACTGTGATGATTAAAATACAATTAAACAATAGAAGTCATGGTTTTATGCCAGTGCTGCTTCACAGTATGTGTGATCATGACATCACATGGTATAAAAATGTTATTTTTGTATTTTGCTGTTATTTGGAACATTCGAACAACCTGTACAGCTATTGTGGTTTGGCATCCAAAAAGTTGCTGAAAGCATTGCACGTTTGGGTAAATGCTCTTTTATTTTAAACAGGCACTTTAACAGCAGCAAGAAATGCCAAGCCCAGTGGGGGAGTAATGAGGAAAGACACAATGTTTGAGGAAAGTTACAAAGTCCACTTTCCTTGGACACAAGTTAACAAAGTAACACAAATACACTAACAACAACAACAACAACACATCAGCAACAAAAGAACAATAATCGTCCTTTTTTCGAGTAACAGAAATGGTCATAATTAATTTTTACACGACCGTTTTCTAGTCTCTCTTTATCCCATAGAAGTTTTTTTATTTTCCTTTAAGAATAATATAAGATTATTTTATTATTAATTTTTATATTATTGTTATTTTATTAATATAGGATAAATGAGCTCTGTTCTGATTGGCTGCCCTGTATTGTGCCTCATTAAAAAGCACTCAGAACTTAACCTCTTCAACTCCTTGAGACCACCAGTGGTTCCAAAATGCACTTCTTCATATTCTTCATAACTTTCATATTTCATAAGCTACATTCAAAAAGTCAGTGTATTATGAAAGCTGTAACTGTCTTTTTTCCAGTCAAATAGATGGGTAATGCAATTTTAAACCCATATAATAGAAGAAGCTGAACTCACAATTTGTCTACTGAAAGTCTACCCATTTTTCCACAAAAAACTATAAACAGATGGCGTCTCTTTAGTGATCTGCTCTGTAAAAATTATTTTTATAAAATAATACAAAGAGAGTCTAAGATTTTTGGCTTTCAGCAGTGAATTGTAAGCATATAGCAATATGTGTATGATCATAAAATAAATTTTCTGTTAATTTGAGGGGAGCTTTTACATAAATAAATAAATAAATAAACATTTACTTTTATTTCATGCAGTTACTGAATAATGTGCCTTACGGTTTGGTCATGTAAATTCAGATGAAAAAAAACAAAATATACCCTGGAGAATACACCTTCCCTAGAACCTCATTATAACTGGGCGGGGCTGAACAGCTGTAGGCTAATTAAATAATTGTAAATGAGTTGGTTCTCCTGACCATACAGAAACAATGAATTCTAAACAGGCTGTTTTTACAGCACAGTTTCCATATATGGACCGCATGGACTGGGTAATAAACGGTACTGTTCTTCGTTATATGAGCGCTTTAAAGGCTTCAGACGTTTGGTTCCTATCACTACCACGTTGTAGACAGTTCTGACACAAATTTCTCTAAAATGCCACATTTCATATCAAAACACTGAAAATGAGTTTTGTTTACATTTAAATGATGTAGGTCTGCAGATATTCAGGGGAAAAACCCGACAGAATTGCCCTTTAACCTCAGGTTTGAACGTAAACAGATAGAGATGATTTAACGATTTTCCTTCAGTAGCATCTAACCTAACTGTGTACCTAGTTTAACGTCACTAGTTAGGTAGCCAGTTTCAGAGTTTACGTTTATCTAGCTCCGGTTCCAGACCATAAAAATGAAGAAATTGAATATTAAGACACTTAATAGTCAATAAAGTAACGTTAGTCAGTAAAGAAACTTAGCTAGCTAACAACATTAGCGCTCAACTAGCTATTTAACCTAGCTACTTATGCTAATAACTCAAATATTAGGTGTCTAGCTGGAATAATTCTGCTATTTGAGCGGTTCTGTTGATGTAAACACTGTTTATTAGTAACTATTTTAGGCTGTTTTTGTGTCTGTGTGTACCTTCGATGACGGTCAGCTCTTCTGCCTCCTCTCTGCTCCTCTGCCGATTCCTCCGTCTGGAAAAATAATAAATGGTCGCCGCGGCGGCGGCAGCCCCGGCTACACACAGCAGGGGGCGCCAGTTGACGGTAGATGGAAGACCGCTGCGAAAAGCGAAACGCTGCATTAGTGCGGATGAAGATCGATGTCGGAGCTCAGGATAAATCAGCTCGTCTGTTGTGGTGTCGATGAACGACTGAAGATCAACGTTCTTTTCCACCTGTTTAGAGCGATGATGGAGCGTCTAGTGTTCCATTTCACTGCGTCACAGTGAGACTCCAGAGTTTGAATTCAAACTTGTTTACAGCGCTTGGTCTCCGTGGAAAGAGACGTAATCAAGGCACCAATAGGCGCCTGTTTGAAGCACCGTGTCCCGCATAAGCACTGATGAGCTGGTGTCCCGCTCGGTTTGCCTGGTTGCAATGATTAGTGGGTATGTTTGAGCAGGAATGTGTCCAAGCATTGCTGGACACCGGGCCTCCAAATATCCTTAATTGTGCGTCCTCCTTTCCTTTAAAACGTCTCTGACTATAGAAACCAAAATAATCTACCGCTGTACACTGTCATAAATATGTCTGCAGAGGAAATTATTCCATTTTCAGTGAAACTACCAAGATGTACCCCGTGTGTCCATGAAAGTAAATACTAAATTGTTCTCAGTAGGAACAAAATGCTCTGGTTAAAAAAATGGGTATATTTAAGAATAATTTCACAATCAGAGAATCTTTGCTGTGAAATATTTTTGTTATGAATTTTCACTTCTTACATCATTAAACTGAAGTTTTTTCATTGTGCTGAGTGATCATGTTACCAAAATGTACTCCAACACTGCTGTAGACGTCACATGTGTATATAAGTAAGAATAACAGTAGTCTTCACCTGTTGTTCTTAATTATAATGAAGTAATGGCTTTAGTACAATACTTCCCATTCATTTTGGACTTGGTGGGGAGAGCCCTCTGGCAAAGCCAGAAGACATCGAGTGGCAGTCCTCCACTCTAGAAGTGCTTTGCTGAGGCCCAGTGGCCTAATGGATAAGGCATCAGCCTCCGGAGCTGGGGATTGTGGGTTCGAGTCCCATCTGGGTCGTTCTTCTAAAAACCATGGCTGATGATTAGTGCCATCTTGGTCTGTGCCATAGTGGGTAATCTGGTAACTGTTAGCTTACGCATTTAAGCAAAAGAAGGCTCAGAGAAACTTCAAATGCTACATTTAAGAGTATGTCTCTAGTAGTGAATGGGAGGTAGTGTGTAACTGCTGCTTTATTTAAGGTGGATCAGAAAATCAAATAAATAGTCATCATCAGCCTCGAAAGATTAGCATGTCAAATTCAGAGTCATTTCCAATTTAGCAATTTCCATAAATGAATCATGAAAAGATGGACAGCAGTGGCACCATCTTGTGCACACGGTGGCACCAAGAAAACCAAAACGAAAAGCAGGATGAGGACATAGCTGAGCAGGTGGGCACTGAAGAATGCTGACAGGACCTAAGATAGCATTAATTTATAGCATATTGACTGTCAAAATTATGTCACATTTAAGATAAAAGCTTTTGCCAGTATTCACGTCATCACTAACTAGCCATCTTAGCTATCTCAGTGTAGCATGTAAATAATAAATAAGAGCAAGAAATGAACAAGACTAAAATGCACAGATTTTAGAAAAAGTTATTTTGCATGACAGCAATGCTGTATGTGTGTGTGATTGTTGTGTGTGTGTGTAGCAGGAGAAATTTAGTTTAAGGTGGACTGGTCATGTTACGATCATGTTACGCTTAGTCTGAAAACAAGTCCCACTTAGACCCTGCACTGGAAGAAGTTCCAGTTAAATGACTGAAGACAGTACGAGCTGTGAGCTGCTGAAAATTTCCACATATATTATTTATGCCTTTTACTGATTTAGCGAGGTCAAGAAAAAGAAATTATTTAGATACCAAGTTATACAGAACTCATTTATACATATTTCCAGCCATAAGCAGATGTTTTAGCTTCTACAATGGTGTTCGAAATCCAAAACAAGTGCTTGATTTTTTAATGTAATTGTAAGTGCAGCACATTAAATTTTATACTTTACAGTAGAATGAACATTTTAAACATTTTACTTCATGCTACTGCAGCATGTTTTATGGCACTGTAACTCAAGCATAATGGACACTGTCTACTTTGTTGCTCATTCTTGTATGCCTTTTTGTCCAAAGGTTATTTTCATTCCATTTGGTCATTCTATGTAAGAACAATTGAGCTCAACGCCGACTTTTGAAAATCATAGAGTCACTATAAATTAATGTTTTATCATATTTTGGGAACATAATTATTCGATTCAATGAAAAGTCTAATGTCTCTAAAACCCAAAAATCCCCAGCACATGACATCAGACTAGTGTAGCTGAAATGATCTACACCAGGCAGCAACGCAGACGTTAAGAAGAGCTATTTTGTCCCTTTTCAACAAAAATCAAACCACCCAAGAGCCACACTTTATGTTCATTTTATTAAGTAACAGTTTACCATCTTGGCTGTAAATACGCCTCACTATGTGCTAATGTGCTTGTACAGGCTAAAAAATATAATGTAAATGAAAATATAGACTTGATTTTCTTTGCTTTAAGCTTTAGCTCAGCTATAGCTGCTTTTCTCACATCTCCAGCAGGATATTTTTTAATATTTAACATTTGATATTTTACGAGGCTGAAGTCAGCCCCTCATTCGCCAGTTTCTTGTTCAAATTTTTCTGTTCCACCTTAAATGCAGCTAACTGCTGCACAATTTGAGGTGGAACAGGGAAAATTCAAACAAGAAGCTGGCGAATGGCAAGTTGACTATTATATAGGTTCTGCCTTGACTGTACCAATAGGACAGAACCTCTTCTGGCTTACATTTTCATTACATAGGCTTAACAATGTTTCTAACAGATTTTTGAAAAACAAATCAATCTCAGAAACATTTAAACGAACAAAATAACAATATTTATTTACAAAGAAAATACAGAGTAATTATATTTACAATATTTACAAGATTTATACAATACACCATCATATGCAACACACACACACACACACACACATCTTTATTCCAGTCCATCATCAGCTGAATGTGGATTTCTGGACAGAACAGCAGGATCTGGAGAAACACAGATACAGAAACAAAAAAAACGATATTATGAAAGAAAAGTAAGAGTAGAAACATACAGAAAAGTATCAGGGTTATTTAGTAACGTTATTTTGTTGGACAGTGATCTGAAGAGTTCTTTGCGTGTTTTATGGTGAACTGCTGTGTTGGGGCTTCATGCAGATAAAGCCAAATAACTTGATGAACCTACCGAGTGATGATGGTGGAGGCCAGTCAGTTCAGCTCGGTCAAAGCTCTGCTGCCTGGTACTGGATCGATGAGTGGATGGATGGATGAACGGAGGGCTGGACAGACAGATGGATGGGTAACGTCACTGAGATGGGTCCGGTGATCCTGCAAGCACATCAAGAGAGGAAAAGGCAAACAACGTGTCCACCAATACATGAGAGAGAGAGAGAGAGAGAGAGAGAGAGAGAGAGAGATAAAGGAAGATAGGCAAAGAGAGATGATAAGAAATACCCTTAAAATCTACTATGAAGTTGTCTGTAACATATATAACTATATATAACATAACATAACTAAAATTAATCATTTTATATTCTTACCTTATGTTGCCTCAAAGGGGCATTCTGGCCTAAAACTACCATTTACTATGTATGCATTGCACAAATATGTCATACAATGAGACCCCTCCACCCCACCCTCACAATGATAAACAAATGCACTGATGTAACTGTAACGTCAGCAATCTAACTTTCTTGTGCATTAGCCAGCTAGAGGCCAAAAACATTTCAAAACTGCTCTCATGTATTCACCCCAAAGAGAACGTATTTGTTCAAATGTTCATCCCACCTTCAAGATACTAATCTGAAGGGAGTTTACCTAGTCTGTATCCTAGACAATCTCACTAAGAACTACTGCGGCGCAGCTGAAGAGATGCAAGTAGTCAAGTTTACAACAGATATACAGATATAGCAATGGTTAAAGTTTTAATTTTGGCCAGAGTGCACCTTTAATAAGCAATTCTTAACAAAACTACAACAATAATAAAACACTGACTACAATTAAGCGCCCTGTACAACGAGTTACCAGTACTTGATACATGTATGTGCATTTGAATGTAGGTACAGAATTACAGACTGTAGCCCATCTGCTGGTGAAACATCACCCCCCTACTGTGCTGTGCTGAGAATGGTCTACATTCAAATAATATCTGGCCAAAAGACCACCTCCGACCAAATATAGCACAGCAGTGACAGCACAGCAGTGACACTTATGTGTAATGCTGGTATGTGTTTAATCAGGCACAGCGGCGTTGCTGTGAGTTTTTAAACACCTCAGTGCTGTTACTGGATTGAGTCTGGTCTGCCAACCAAAGAGGCAATGCTAGTTCTGAAACAGAGACAGACTTCCCATGAGGGGCTAGAGTAGGAGGGGTGTCGAACTCAGGTCCTGGAGAGTCACAGCTCTGCAGAGATTAAAGTCCCTCTTCTCCTGTCATCACTCCCCACCATTTTATGTTTTCCATGATCAAACAGAACCAAGTCATATCATTAACTAATGAGCATCTCCTTCTTAGCTGAATCAGTTATGTTAAATCAGACAAAACACAAACTGGTGGCACTGGAGGACTGGGGATAGAAAACACTGTTCTAAAATGGTAAGATACATTTGCTAATTAGCTGTATAGTTGAAAATTGGATGCTAAACCTTGCAGTGTTGTGGACCACCAGTGCTGCGGTCTAACACAGAATAGTGGTTCTCATCTCCAGTCCTGGAGACCCACTGCCCCACAGAGTGTCAAGTACTTACTCTCCCCAATCAGAGGTGGAAAATTTAGGCTCAAATTGTAAAATTCTCCCACATTTTTGTTCCAACTACTAGCTTAGACCAACAGCAAAGGTTGGTCTAAGCTAATTAGAGAGGGAGCTGTTTCATGAAGGGTTTAATAATTAGCTGATTTAATGTTGCTGTGTCTAATACACTTGTACCACAGCAACAGAGGAGCTACACTAAGCAATTGTAAACCTACGAAGGGAAGCTGTTTCACAAAACAAATGGGTCATAAAATGGTCACAAATGTAGGTCCAAGGTAGATAAACCGAACAACTGGCAACACAGTATACAGTGCACTTAATAGCATACTTAAAATTACAAATATTATACTGGTGTGATTAATAAAAATGAAACAATTAAACTATATATGTTGTGTTTTAAGAAAGGCAGAGATGTTAAATGCCCTGTAGTCTCGCCAACAGCTGCTGGACATGTTTCTCCAGGCAGTCCCACAGAGTGAGGGCCAGGGATCCAGGGTCCATATAAACATGCTCCTCTCTGCCAAAGATCTCCTCCAGCAGGAGCATTGCCTCATCCTGAGAGAGAGACAGAACTAGTGTTATGCTATTACATCATGTTAATTTACACATTGTCACTTTAAACAGTAAGAAAAGAATTCTACTGCTGTTCACTTGTGTTATTAATGCTATTAATGTGCTACTTACCAGGAGCAGGAACAAGTACTTGTCAGCCCTGGGTCTCCTCTGCGTGCTGACAGGACTGAAAGAACAAATCATGTCCACCAAGTGCCCAAGGAAACCTCCTGGTGTCTGGAATAGAGACAAAAAATGTGAGTAGATCATTTACAGTCATTATGGGTGCATAAGTATATGATACAAGAATCAGAATAAGAGTCTTTATCTAAGATCTAATGTTACATCTCAAATTCTACTGAACAGAACTGTATCCATTTGGAGAGCCGGTGATTACAGCACTAATGTATCTAATACAGGGCACAAAGTCACATTTGATTCTAAGAAAGAGAGTTTCTTACTGGATAGATCGGAGGCCTCGCTCCCTGCAGCACTCCCATAAGAACCAGCTCAAAGACAATGTCTAAGAGGTTGAAGTGCTGAATCTAACAGGATAAGAAACATTAGTATTACAGTCTCATTCACTGTAGTAAAGCAGTGATCATGTTACGAACTGAGGCCAAGAGAGCATGAACTCACCCCAACTTGCGCCAGCTCAGTGCAAATAGCTTCACGATGTGAGGCATCCTGAGCAAAGGCTACCAGGCGAGCATATGCCTCCTGGAAGGCTGGAAGCTCCTGCAGAAAAAAGAGGTACATTCGTTTCATTGTTTGCTTGTGAGATAATTCAGACTGAACAGTTCAGATTTGGTTTAGATGACAGTGTTTTGTTACCCTGGCATTTCGAGCAGCCAGTCCACCAAGAAGGACTCTGCCTGCTATGCTGATGTATTTTGCATGGTGGCTGTTGCTCAGAACAAGCTGTAGAATGAAACCAAGAAAATGGCTGTCGGAAAGGATCAACTGAACAGGTATTGGTGTATAAAGACAGAGTTACTGAGTATTGAGAATGAAGTTTCATCTGATAGACTTACAGTGAAAGCCTGGCGCAATGCTGAGAGCCTGAGTGGAAAGTTGGAACTCTTCATGGCAAAGTAGGTACTGCAGTGACAAAACAAACTTCATATATGTGGACACTTTGTAAATATCATTTGAAATAAATTTAATTAGCGGAGCTTTAATTCTCACAGCAAAAAGATGAAAACTAAATTACTTACTACAAAGCGGGCACTTGATACGCCTCAGGAGGCACAGTGAGATCTGCAGCTGCCTATAACATCATATATGAAATTCTTACTACCTGACCAGTTAAACTGCTGAAAATGTAGTCAGAACTGATAAGAGCAGTTTGCATAGTCTTACCTCAGGAGCACTCTGGGTGGAAGAAGGCAGCTCGGGTGCTGAATGAGGTGGCGAGGGTGGCAGCGGCGGAGCCTGGGGACAAGAAATTTGTCGGCTCTGAGGAGATGCCGAATCTCCAGATGCCTGTAACACCAAATACGCAGTACAGTGAGTTGCAGTAAAATGGGACAGTGTGTTGGTTAATGTAAGACACATAGGTTGTAAGTCCTGAATAACAAAGTCATTATTTTATGGTACTTGAGTAGCAAAATCTACTCATTGCTCATTTAGAAAGCATCAGTTAATAGCTGAATGAACAAGTTTCTAAAACTGGCCCGAAATACATGAATCCATCTTACTTATTACTGACAAAATGGATAAGAGCAATGTGCATGGTGTTACCTCAGGAGCACTCTGCTCTGTGGATGCTGGGTCTCCTTGAGGCTGAGGTGGAGAGGGTGCCACAGGTGTAACGTGTGGAGGTAACCATTCCTCGCTCAGGGAAGATGCATCATCTCCAGCTGCCTGTAATGTCAAACATACAGCACTTATTACTGAAAAATAAAACTGCTGAAAATGTAGGTAGGATTGATAAAAGTCTGTTTATTCTTACCTCAGCAGCACTCTCACTAGGGGACCTTGGGTCAGGCTGAGGCTCGGCCAGTGGCACCGGTGGAGAGGGTGCCGATGGATGGCTCTGGGGTGCTGGATCATCTCCAGCTACCTATAATGTCAAATATACAGTGCTTATTACTAAAAAAACTGCTGAAATACGTAATTAGAACTAGTAAGAGTCTTTTCTTTTTCTTACCTCAGCAGCTCTCTCACTAGGAGACCCTGGGTCAGGCTGAGGCTCAGCCAGTGGCACCAGTGAAGAGGGTGCCGATGGATGGCTCTGGGGTGCTGCATCATCTCCAGCTGCCTAAAATGCCAAACATATAGAAAGTATTACTGATAAATAAAACTATGAAAACGCAGTTGTATTTGATAACAGTAATCTGTATAACTTTACCTCAGGAGCAGTTGGACAGGAAAATCCTGGGTTTGAAGGAGTCCTCAGTGGTGACTGAGGTGGGGAAGGTGGCCTCAGAGGACTTTGAGGAGGTGCAATAGGCTCATGTTGAGAGCATACAGCCACAGGTGCTAGGAATACAAAATATAGCTGAATATTATGTATGTCATGTAACTGTGATGATTAAAATACAATTAAACAATAGAAGTCATGGTTTTATGTCAGCGCTGCTTCACAGTATGTGTGATCATGACATCACATGGTATAAAAATGTTATTTTTGTATTTTGCTGTTATTTGGAACATTCGAACAACCTGTACAGCTATTGTGGTTTGGCATCCAAAAAGTTGCTGAAAGCATTGCACGTTTGGGTAAATGCTCTTTTATTTTAAAGAGGCACTTTAACAGCAGCAAGAAATGCCAAGCCCAGTGGGGGAGTAATGAGGAAAGACACAACGTTTGAGGAAAGTTACAAAGTCCACTCTCGTTGGACACAAGTTATCAAAGTAACACAAATACACTAACAACAACAACAACAACAACACATCAGCTACAAAAGAACAATAATCGTCCTTTTTTCGAGTAACAGAAATGGTCATAATTAATTTTTACACGACCGTTTTCTAGTCTCTCTTTATCCCATAGAATTAAATAGACTGTTTTTTTATTTTCCTTTAAGAATAATATAAGATTATTTTATTATTAATTCTTATATTATTGTTATTTTATTAACATAGGATAAATAAGCTCTGTTCTGATTGGCTGCCCTGTATTGTGCCTCATTAAAAAGCACTCAGAACTTAACCTCTTCAACTCCTTGAGACCACCAGTGGTTCCAAAATGCACTTCTTCATATTCTTCATAACTTTCATATTTCATAAGCTACATTCAAAAAGTCAGTGTATTATGAAAACTGTAACTGTCTTTTTTCCAGTCAAATAGATGAGTAATGCAATTTTAAACCCATATAATAGAAGAAGCTGAACTCACAATTTGTCTACTGAAAGTCTACCCATTTTTCCACAAAAAACTATAAACAGATGGCGTCTCTTTAGTGATCTGCTCTGTAAAAATTATTTTTATAAAATAATACAAAGAGAGTCTAAGATTTTTGGCTTTCAGCAGTGAATTGTAAGCATATAGCAATATGTGTATGATCATAAAATAAATTTTCTGTTAATTTGAGGGGAGCTTTTACATAAATAAATAAATAAATAAACAAACATTTACTTTTATTTCATGCAGTTACTGAATAATGTGCCTTACGGTTTGGTCATGTAAATTCAGATGGAAAAAACAAAATATACCCTGGAGAATACACCTTCCCTAGAACCTCATTATTACTGGGCGGGGCTGAACAGCTGTAGGCTAATTAAATATATGTAAATGAGTTGGGTCTCCTGACCATACAGAAACAATGAATTCTAAACAGGCTGTTTTTACAGCACAGTTTCCATATATGGACCGCATGGACTGGGTAATAAACGGTACTGTTCTTCGTTATATGAGCGCTTTAAAGGCTTCAGACGTTTGGTTCCTATCACTACCACGTTGTAGACAGTTCTGACACAACAAGTTTCTCTAAAATGCCACATTTCATATCAAAACACTGAAAATGAGTTTTGTTTACATTTAAATGATGTAGGTGTGCAGATATTTAGGGGAAAAACCCGACAGAATTGCCCTTTAACCTCAGTTTTGAACGTAAACAGATAGAGACGATTTAACGACTTTCCTTCAGTAGCATCTAACCTAACTGTGTATCTAGTTTAACGTTACTAGTTAGGTAGCCAGTTTCAGAGTTTACGTTTATCTAGCTCCGGTTCCAGACCATAAAAATGAAGAAATTGAATATTAAGACACTTAATAGTCAATAAAGTAACGTTAGTCAGTAAAGAAACTTAGCTAGCGTTAGCTAACTTAGCTAGCTAACAACATTAGCGCTCAACTAGCTATTTAACCTAGCTACTTATGCTAATAACTCAAATATTAGGTGTCTAGCTGGAATAATTCTGCTATTTGAGCGGTTCTGTTGATGTAAACACTGTTTATTAGTAACTATTTCAGGCTGTTTTTGTGTCTGTGTGTACCTTCGATGACGGTCAGCTCTTCTGCCTCCTCTCTGCTCCTCTGCCGATTCCTCCGTCTGGAAAAATAATAAATGGTCGCCGCGGCGGCGGCAGCCCCGGCTACACACAGCAGGGGGCGCCAGTTGACGGTAGATGGAAGACCGCTGCGAAAAGCGAAACGCTGCATTAGTGCGGATGAAGATCGATGTCGGAGCTCAGGATAAATCAGCTCGTCTGTTGTGGTGTCGATGAACGACTGAAGATCAACGTTCTTTTCCACCTGTTTAGAGCGATGATGGAGCGTCTAGTGTTCCATTTCACTGCGTCACAGTGAGACTCCAGAGTTTGAATTCAAACTTGTTTACAGCGCTAGGTCTCCGTGGAAAGAGACGTAATCAAGGCACCAATAGGCGCCTGTTTGAAGCACCGTGTCCCGCATAAGCACTGATGAGCTGGTGTCCCGCTCGGTTTGCCTGGTTGCAATGATTAGTGGGTATGTTTGAGCAGGAATGTGTCCAAGCATTGCTGGACACCGGGCCTCCAAATATCCTTAATTGTGCGTCCTCCTTTCCTTTAAAACGTCTCTGACTATAGAAACCAAAATAATCTACCGCTGTACACTGTCATAAATATGTTTGCAGAGGAAATTATTCCATTTTCAGTGAAACTACCAAGATGTACCCCGTGTGTCCATGAAAGTAAATACTAAATTGTTGTCAGTAGGAACAAAATGCTCTGGTTAAAAAAATAGGTATATTTAAGAATAATTTCACAATCAGAGAATCTTTGCTGTGAAATATTTTTGTTATGAATTTTCACTTCTTACATCATTAAACTGAAGTTTTTTCATTGTGCTGAGTGATCATGTTACCAAAATGTACTCCAACACTGCTGTAGACGTCACATGTGTATATAAGTAAGAATAACAGTAGTCTTCACCTGTTGTTCTTAATTATAATGAAGTAATGGCTTTAGTGCAATACTTCCCATTCATTTTGGACTTGCTGGGGAGAGCCCTCTGGCAAAGCGAGAAGACATCGAGTGGCAATCCTCCACTCGAGAAGCGTTTTGCTGAGGCCCAGTGGCCTAATGGATAAGGCATCAGCCTCCGGAGCTGGGGATTGTGGGTTCGAGTTCCAGCTGGGTCGTTCTTCTAAAACCATGGCTGATGATTAGTGCCATCTTGGTCTGTGCCGTAGTGGGTAATCTGATAACTGTTAGCTTACGCATTTAAGCAAAAGAAGGCTCAGAGAAACTTCAAATGCTACATTTAAGAGTATGTCTTTAGTAGTGAATGGGAAGTAGTGTGTAACTGCTGCTTTATTTAAGGTGGATCAGAAAATCAAATAAATAGTCATCATCAGCCTCGAAAGATTAGCATGTCAAATTCAGAGTCATTTCCAATTTAGCAATTTCCATAAATGAATCATGAAAAGATGGACAGCAGTGGCAAGAATTAAAAAAAAAACACGGTGGCACCGAGAAAACCAAAACGAAAAGCAGGATGAGGACATAGCTGAGCAGGTGGGCACTGAAGAATGCTGACAGGACCTAAGATAGCATTAATTCATAGCATATTGACTGTCAAAATTATGTCACATTTAAGATAAAAGCTTTTGCCAGTATTCACGTCATCACTAACTAGCCATCTTAGCTATCTCAGTGTAGCATGTAAATAATAAATAAGAGCAAGAAATGAAAAAGACTAAAATGCACAGATTTTAGAAAAAGTTATTTTGCATGACAGCAATGCTGTATGTGTGTGTGATTGTTGTGTGTGTGTGTGTAGCAGGAGAAATTCAGGTAGAGTTTAAGGTGGGCTGGTCATGTTACAATCATGTTACGTTTAGTCTGAAAACAAGTCCCACTTAGACCCTGCACTGGAAGAAGTTCAAGTTAAATGACTGAAGACAGTACGAGCTGTGAGCTGCTGAAAATTTCCACATATATTATTTATGCCTTTTACTGATTTAGCGAGGTCAAGAAAAAAGAAATTATTTAGATACCAAGTTATACAGAACTCATTTATACATATTTCCAGCCATAAGCAGATGTTTTAGCTTCTACAATGGTGTTCGAAATCCAAAACAAGTGCTTGATTTTTTTATGTAATTGTAAGTGCGGCACATTAAATTTTTTACTTTACAGTAGAATGAACATTTTAAACATTTTACTTCATGCTACTGCAGCATGTTTTATGGCACTGTAACTCAAGCATAACGGACACTGTCTACTTTGTTGCTCATTCTTGTATGCCTTTTTGTCCAAAGGTTATTTTCATTTTTATAACAAAATATCCTGAGTTCTTACCATTGGTCATTCTATGTAAGAACAATTGAGCTCAACGCCGACTTTTGAAAATCATAGAGTCACTATAAATTAATGTTTTATCATATTTTGGGAACATAATTATTCGATTCAATGAAAAGTCTAATGTCTCTAAAACCCAAAAATCCCCAGCACATGACATCAGACTAGTGTAGCTGAAATGATCTACACCAGGCAGCAACGCAGACGTTAAGAAGAGCTATTTTGTCCCTTTTCAACAAAAATCAAACCACCCAAGAGCCACACTTTATGTTCATTTTATTAAGTAACAGTTTACCATCTTGGCTGTAAATACGCCTCACTATGTGCTAATGTGCTTGTACAGGCTAAAAAATATAATGTAAATGAAAATATAGACTTGATTTTCTTTGCTTTAAGCTTTAGTTCAGCTATAGCTGCTTTTCTCACATCTCCAGCAGGATATTTTTCCACAAAACTGCAATAGCTTCTTCTAAAATGTCTCTTAACATTTGATATTTTACGAGGCTGAAGTCAGCCCCTCATTCGCCAGTTTCTTGTTCAAATTTTTCTGTTCCACCTTAAATGCAGCTAACTGCTGCACAATTTGAGGTGGAACAGGGAAAATTCAAACAAGAAGCTGGCGAATGGCAAGTTGACTATTATATAGGTTCTGCCTTGACTGTACCAATAGGACAGAACCTCTTCTGGCTTACATTTTCATTACATAGGCTTAACAATGTTTCTAACAGATTTTTGAAAAACAAATCAATCTCAGAAACATTTAAACGAACAAAATAACAATATTTATTTACGAAGAAAATACAGAGTAATTATATTTACAATATTTACAAGATTTATACAATACACCATCACATGCAACACACACACACACACACACACACATCTTCATTCCAGTCCATCATCAGCTGAATGTGGATTTCTGGACAGAACAGCAGGATCTGGAGATACACAGATACAGAAACAAAAAAAAAACATTATGAAAGAAAAGTAAGAGTAGAAACATACAGAAAAGTATCAGGGTTATTTAGTAACGTTATTTTGTTGGACAGTGATCTGAAGAGTTCTTTGCGTGTTTTATGGTGAACTGCTGTGTTGGGGCTTCACGCAGATAAAGCCAAATAACTTGATGAACCTACCGAGTGATGATGGTGGAGGCCAGTCAGTTCAGCTCGGTCAAAGCTCTGCTGCCTGGTACTGGATCGATGAGTGGATGGATGGATGGATGAACGGAGGGCTGGACAGACAGATGGATGGGTAACGTCACTGAGATGGGTCCGGTGATCCTGCAAGCACATCAAGAGAGGAAAAGGCAAACAACGTGTCCACCAATACATGAGAGAGAGAGAGAGAGAGAGAGAGAGAGAGAGATAAAGGAAGATAGGCAAAGAGAGATGATAAGAAATACCCTTAAAATCTACTATGAAGTTGTCTGTAACATATATAACTATATATAACATAACATATAACTAAAATTAATCATTTTATATTCTTACCTTATGTTGCCTCAAAGGGGCATTCTGGCCTAAAACTACCATTTACTATGTATGCATTGCACAAATATGTCATACAATGAGACCCCTCCACCCCACCCTCACAATGATAAACAAATGCACTGATGTAACTGTAACGTCAGCAATCTAGCTTTCTTGTGCATTAGCCAGCTAGAGGCCAAAAAACATTTCAAAACTGCTCTCATGTATTCACCCCAAAGAGAATGTATTTGTTCAAATGTTCATCCCACCTTCAAGATACTAATCTGAAGGGAGTTTACCTAGTCTGTATCCTAGAAAATCTCACTCTAAGAACTACTGCGGCGCAGCTGACGAGATGCAAGTAGTCAAGTTTACAACAGGTATACAGATATAGCAATGGTTAAAGTTTTAATTTTGGCCAGAGTGCACCTTTAATAAGCAATTCTTAACAAAACTACAACAATAATAAAACACTGACTACAATTAAGCGCCCTGTACAACGAGTTACCAGTACTTGATACATGTATGTGCATTTGAATGTAGGTACAGAATTACAGACTGTAGCCCATCTGCTGGTGAAACATCACCCCCCTACTGTGCTGTGCTGAGAATGGTCTACATTCAAATAATATCTGGCCAAAAGACCACCTCCGACCAAATATAGCACAGCAGTGACAGCACAGCAGTGACACTTATGTGTAATGCTGGTATGTGTTTAATCAGGCACAGCGGCGTTGCTGTGAGTTTTTAAACACCTCAGTGCTATTACTGGATTGAGTCTGGTCTGCCAACCAAAGAGGCAATGCTAGTTCTGAAACAGAGACAGACTTCCCATGAGGGGCTAGAGTAGGAGGGGTGTCGAACTCAGGTCCTGGAGAGTCACAGCTCTGCAGAGATTAAAGTCCCTCTTCTCCTGTCATCACTCCCCACCATTTTGTGTTTTCCATGATCAAACAGAACCAAGTCATATCATTAACTAATGAGCATCTCCTTCTTAGCTGAATCAGTTATGTTAAATCAGACAAAACACAAACTGGTGGCACTGGAGGACTGGGGATAGAAAACACTGTTCTAAAATGGTAAGATACATTTGCTAATTAGCTGTATAGTTGAAAATTGGATGCTAAACCTTGCAGTGTTGTGGACCACCAGTGCTGCGGTCTAACACAGAAAAGTGGTTCTCATCTCCAGTCCTGGAGACCCACTGCCCCACAGAGTGTCAAGTACTTACTCTCCCCAATCAGAGGTGGAAAATTTAGGCTCAAATTGTAAAATTCTCCCACATTTTTGTTCCAACTACTAGCTTAGACCAACAGCAAAGGTTGGTCTAAGCTAATTAGAGAGGGAGCTGTTTCATGAAAGGTTTAATAATTAGCTGATTTAATGTTGCTGTGTCTAATACACTTGTACCACAGCAACAGAGGAGCTACACTCAGCAATTGTAAACCTACGAAGGGAAGCTGTTTCACAAAACAAATGAG